GCTTTAGCCCGGACCTCCAACGGCAGCTCGCAGACCTTCATATTGTTAGATGTTGATACCAAACAAAAGCTGCTTCGTACATAAGCTACGCAGTGGATGCACGCTACTTGCATAGGCTACACCATGCTAACTGGTTTGTCGGAGTATTCCTAAGTTATTTAAATGACTGTAGGAAACATAAATTAAGGGCAACAAACCATGAGCGTAATCCGCTTGTGTTGCAATACTTTTGACCCATACTGTATATGGAAACACAATGAATTCTCTTTGCCAGTATAATTTTATTTTTAGTTAATTTCATGTAAAAAATAAGGTAGAGGTAAATTTCTAAAACCTTTCAGTTTGTCCTCTTTGTTTTGTATCTGCTTTTCAGGCAGGCGATAAGCCTTGTTGTTTCTCGCTGCCCAATCTAATATCGATTGAACATTGTGCTCCTTGAATAGTTTCAATAAAGCTTCAGTTTCGTGGTCTTCCCATGCTTTCTATCAGAAAGGGGTCGTGGACATCTTGGAATCTCTTCTAGTATGACAATTCCTGTGAGAAAATCATCAATAAAAAAGATCTGATTTCCTATGTAAAACTTCTTAGAGGAGGATGCTGAAGACATCCAGAGGTGACAGAGCTCTTCTTACCCCTAAACACATACAATGCATGTACTCAAAGACAAAGCCATGGATGATGACAATATTTCTAAATAAGGAGAAGAGTGAGAGACCTTTCACACCACAGTGAGATATACCTTCAAGAACTGCAATTTCAGCCGATTCCATTGTATCTTTATGATTCCGCAAAGGAGGGAGTGAGTGGAACATAACAGAGGCAAAAATGCCTCTGTTATGTTCCACTCTCCAGGATGGCATTGCAAAGAATATGGTCACAGACTTGCTTACCAATGAGGTTATAGGCTTTCAGGATTTCAGGATAGTTAGTGATATCAAGAGGCGATTTCGCCCATTTCGATATTACGTGTCGAGGTCGAGCGTTCCTTAATTTTAGGGTAGGCCTAACCCTCTTAAAGCTAAATATTTTTGTATTTCTGTTTTGTTTTGTTTTGTTTTTTTTTTTT